GAATGCGGAGTGGCGCCGAGTAGAGGTTGCCAGTGGCAATGTCGACGAGGTTCCTGACGGGGTCGATGGCAGGGCTGTTACCCCAAATGGCGGCTCCGGCATATTCTCCGGTGGCGCCGTGGTTTTCAATGAAGGTTTGCCATTGGATGACACCAGTTCTAACGTCAAGTTTGGCAAAGCTGCCCCGGAATGTGCAGCATTGCTCAAGGGGAAGCCCTTCTTCAAGTGAGGATGTTCCAACGTAGAAACTCCTGTGTATTATGGGATTACTTAGTTATGATTAAAAAAATTTCCATACTAAACTATATATTACCTAAGAAAACTAATAATTAAAAAAATGCACATTAATGGTTTCATAATGAGTTGTTACTATGGACAAATATTTTGTTGTGAAAAAAAAAAACGACAACAATATTTGAGTTGATATTAATTAGTATCTATCTTCAGGCTGATCACTCTTAAAAGTTTGACAATTCTTTATTTCGTTTTAAAAAATAAAAAATATCTCTAGTTGCATTCCAATATTCTATTTATAAAAAATTTAGTAATGGTTAGCAAGAGACTCAGATGTTGACAGTTACCTAAGTATTATATTAGAATTTGATCAAGTTTACTTTTTACCAAAATGAGTGGTAGAGAAGAGAAGTTTAAGTATTATTAGTATTTTTTTTTCTTCAAAGTATTATTAGTAATTAATATCTTACCATTACCTTAATTATTTCATATTAATTTTTGTACTAATTTAGGTTAACTAAATTTAAATAATTAATGATTTAATAAATGCATTGAATTCATACAGTGCTGTTATATTCTTTCACATCTAAGTTTGTTATTCAAAAAAAAAAAAACAAATATAGTGTTTAGTTACTTACTATTAAATAATGTGCGCTTTTAAAATTAACATCAATGTCAGGATGGCCGAGTGGTCTAAGGCTCCAGATTCCTTGAACCATCTAATTAGCTATTATTTGTTAAACAAATTACTTATATTATTAATTAACAGTTAGTGTCAGGATGGCCGAGTGGTCTAAGGTGCCAGACTCAAGTTTTGGTCCTCGTGAGAGGGAGTGGATTCAAATCCCACTTCTGACAGTTTTATTTTTTTCATAAAGAAATTTAGATTTAGGATATTATTGGAATTGCATGGCTAGTATAATATTAATAATTATTGAGACCAAACTAACATATTTTTTTCTCAAGACTTAAAAAGATCATTTTCAACTTGTCATGTAAAAGATAATAAACTTTAAAAAGATTTTGGATGTAATAATATTTTAGTATAATGTTGAGATTTGAGAATGACTGACCCTTTGTAGTATGTGCCGGACATGCTGATGAAGCTTCTATTATTATAATCCAGCCTCGTCGACCAAACCAGATTCCCCGTCGATCTTTTAACGGCGACAACGGCGGCGGGTCCATAGATTCCGACGAGGAGCAGCTCTCCGGCCACCGTGGGAGTCGATCTCGACACCGTCGAGTTAACATTCAGGATGAAACCGGTATTGCTGAAACCCGTGAGTTTCTGCAAATTCTTCTTCCATAGAAGAGTTCCATTGGCGGCTCCGACGGCGTAGAGGAATCCATTCCAGCTCGGAAAATAGACTGCGCCGTTGGAGATCGCCGGAGTTACACATATGTCGCCACCGGCGTAAAATTCCCACTCCAATCGGAGATCGGAAACCGTCGCCGGGCTGATTTTGGTCTCCCTGTTGGCGTATCTCCTGTTTTGCAAATCTCCGCCATGGTTCGGCCAGTTACCTTGTACCTGAAACCAGTGCCAGAGGGAAGAAGAAGAAATTCGAACACAATTCAGTTGATAGGATATTTATATAGATAATATATAGAATACTTATATAGATTATATTACCGTCCAAATCATAGACTTTTGGGACGAGTACAATATATTGCCATCTCAAAAATGAATGATTGGAATTTCACCCTGTAATTTTTGAACCCAGAGAGAGGGAGAGATATACGTCAGAAAGTGGCGTGACCGGTGAGGTGGTGACGAGGAGAGAAGAGAGGAGAAGATAGAGTGAAAGAAGATGGTGGGAGTGAAGAAGTTGGGGATCCGCCATGGAAGAAGTTGGGGGAGCTTCAAAAGGAGGAGTTCAGAGCTCTGCAAAATCAACAACTTATTAGCTGAAGATGGTGTGGATTTATAATTGGTAATATGGTCCAAAATAATAATATTTTTCTTTGACATAATTTTGAAATAAAGATTACGGATTGATCTTCCCTTAAAAGCCTTTTAAAACACTCATCTATGGTGTCTTTATACTCTTCCCTCAAATCACGAATACTTGCGTGCGTTCTTATAGTTTGCACAAACATAGTTAAATTAGTTAATACATATATTTCAACACCACCTATTTAATACTAAAAAAGATTCAGTTTGAGAAGTAAACATCAATTTGGATGGAAGTGTTTGAGGTGTGCCAGCTTCCTAATATTGATGTTAATGTATATTTCTAGAAAGATTATAAAAATAAAAATTTCATATCAAATATTTAAATTAAGTTAAATAAGTTAATATTAACCTTCCTATAATCTCATATTTTGTATATATATATATATATATATTATATATACTTTTCTTTTTCTATTTTATCGATATATTTTTGTGATACTGTAGAAATGTCGGATTTTCTTTAAGTTGATGTCGAATCTATGGACATATAGAAATGTGGATAGATATAATATTGACATGTCAACAAAAATTTAATATGCCCCTTTCAAGTGTGGAGATCAAGTTTGTTCCTTTAATATATATTGAAGTTTAGTAGTCATCTCAAAATTTACTAATTCGTTTGAACTCCAAAATTATTTTCGTAACCTAAATTTTAAAGATAATACACTCTTACTTGTATGATCTTTATTAGGTTATGCATACACTTAATTAAGGATATGCCTATGTTGGGCATTCCAGGCCTTCACCAACATTTCGCTGTAACAATTTAGTTTTTGTCGTTTAAAGTTTGTAGCAATTAATTAGTCCCTATAAGAAAAGCATTTTTTAAGATTTAATAAAGTTTCTCATAATTAAATCAATAAATTGATGAGTGATTAAATTTGTTTATAAATTACCAAATCTACACCCTTAATTTTGATGAGTTTTTTCATAGTAAGAACTATATTGTTACAAATTTTTACAAACTAAAATTGAAAGATAAATTATTGTTCTTTCAATGAAAATTTAGAGACGAAATGGTTTTATAACTTATAATTAAAAGACTTGTTATCACTATATAAGTTATTATCTATTTATGACCCATTATTCACTAGGTTTTGAATTTTAGGTTATAAAATTACAAAACCAAATGTTTTTTTTTATTCTTATAATTTTTGTTATAATTAACTTAAACAATCTCTGACACAAATCATACAAAAAGTGCAGCATACTCCAAGATATTGGCATTGACTTATGACTTGTCCCTCCTGGAGGGTGGTTTGTTTAGTGTTTCCAAAAACATAAAATAACATCTAACCTGTAAAAAATTGGTTTTTCAAAGTTGTAGCCGGGAAGTTATCGAGATAAGAGCATAAAAGTTTTTTTAAAAAACAATATTATATAGGAAAGGGGAAGATTCCGATGAATAACCTCTGGATATCGTTACTCATGGTTAGCATAACTTAGATCAAAGCGAACATTGCTTAGTGATAATTAGTTTATATTTACAATCAAGAGGTTGTGAGTTCGAGCCTCATATTTTATTATTAGTCGTGTTAATAGAATGATCACCTAATTTTCTTTTCTATATAAGAGCGTAATTCGTAGTACTTTGTAATCGAAATACTAGTTTGCAAATTTCATACTCGTGGGTGATAGCCAGTTGCAAATTTCATATATATATTTTTTTGATACACAAGGAAAAAGAAAACTAAAAGGCAGAAACATAGTATCCGGGGCCACGAAGAGAATGCATATCCTCCAGCCAAACAGAGAGTAACAGGGAGGGGAAATCTTCAAGCCACACTCCAGACAGCTCCAAATCGGCTGCCAACCTCGCCAGCTCATGAACAATTCAATTTGCATTCCACAAGACCTTCCACCAATTTGAAACCTCTTGGTTGTTCGACTGAGTACCCCCGAGAAGATCCTTACTAGCCAGTCGGTACCCACTTTTCATCGTGTATTGGCCATCTTTGCTACCGTGCTAAATTAGGGCGTCTTCGGAGTTTCTCCTAGGAAGAGGAATATTTAGAATTGTTCTCACATCTTCCTCGTGAAAAATGTTTGAGAGCTCGTACCTGTTCCACTCACCTTCCGGGAGTAGGAGAGAAACGGCTTTTTGGTTATACAAGCCCCAATAGGAAAGGTGGTTTTAAAAGATGACGGGGTGGGGATCCATTTATCAGCATGGATATTGTTTATGCAAGGATATGCACAACAGTGTATTTCTGATTGCAGCTCGAACTCGGCCTCCGGACCGATCTGAATACTTGGGCGGACCTGCACAAAAAGGTGAGCACTCCGACGACCGAGTTAGTATAAGTCGGATTCCCAGTTTAGTTCGAGGTCAGAAATCTTCGTACCTGATCGTGGAGTGAGGCCCTCTACTTATGGGTGGTAGTCCCGCTAATCTCGTGACGATTGCATCTGATAATCTCAGGACCGTCGGTTACGCCCGGTAATCTCGGGACCGACGGTTACGCCCGATAATCACGCCGCTGACAGTTGCTCACATCGGCCCCTACCGAGCTCCCCGGTAGGTCGGACCTGGGCC